ATCCTACTGACACTCCCCATTGATGTATTTATAAACATTAATGAGGTCACCCCTCAGCCTCCTCTTCTCCAAGCTAAAGAGACCCAGCTCCTTCAGCCTCTCCTCATAAAGGAGATGTTCCACTCCCTTCAGCATCTTTGTGGCTCTTCAATGGACTCTCTCAAGCAGTTCCCTGTCTCTCTTGAGCTGAGGGGCCCAGAACTGGACACAATATTCCAGATGTGGCCTCACCAGGGCAGAGTAGAGGGGCAGGAGGACCTCTCTCGACCTATTAGCTACTCCCCTTCTAATACACTCCAGGATGCCATTAGCCTTCTTGACCACGAGGGCACATTGTTGGTTCATGGTCATCCTGCTGTCCACTAGAACCCCCAGGTCCCTTTCTCCTACACTGCTCTCCAGCAGGTCAGTCCCCAGGCTATACTGGTTCTTGGCGTTATTCCTTCCCAGATGCCAGACTCTACACTTGCACTTGTTGTATTTCACAAAATTACTTCCCTCCCAACTCTCCAGCATGTCCAGGTCTCTCTGAATGGCAGCACAGCCTTCTGGGGTGTCAACCACTCCTCTCAGTTTTGTGTCATCAGCAAACTTGCTGACAGTTCTCTATAATCCCCCATCCAGGTCATTGATGAATATATTGAACAGCACTGGTCCCAGTACTGACCCCTGAGGGATCCCACTAGATATAGTCCCAAAAGGAAGTTCATATTTTTTTATTTGTTTCTAGATGTAATTTTTCATATCTCTCACATACTTGCATTGGAGTGGGTGGAATGTTATCTAATACCTAGTTGGGTGCTTGGTATGTTCAGAAATGTTTTTTATGATCTTGGCTATAGCAAGAGCTTTTAGATGAAATATTAGAAATATCAAATCTAAGATTAGTATTGCAAACACTGAAATCATGGAACTAATGTTGTGTGAATAACAACCTTTTTCTTGTACAGCAGTACTCAGTCGTCTTTGCATTTGGTGATGGAAGTCAAAAATTTTTAAACTGAGATTTCTGAATATATAAAATATATTCAGTAAGATTAACACCAATTTTGAAATACAGCAATTTAAAGTTAAAGGATAAAATGTTTTTTTCTGCAACATTTACACTGAAGTTATTAATTTTTTTCATTATTCATTTTCTCCAGCTGTAGCACTTTGTGAGTCCTATATAAATGCTCTATAAAAATATATATAAAGTCATATTTTTTTTTCCTAAAATGTTTTTGCAAGAAAAAGTCAATCTAATTCTAATTGATGTTAGAAGATCTGGTCTGAAGGCTTTTCCTCATTGGGATTCATTACAATTTATTTTTGATACCACAGGTAGCATATTTTTCATAGTTTAGTTGTAATTAAGAAGTGCCATCTCATGAACAACTCTTTCATGTAAATAAAAAACTATGCACATTATTAATCCTCTCAATATAAATACTACATTTAAGACTGTGTATTTGGGTAAGCTTTTTACCCAGAGACCTAAGCATCTGTTTTTAAAAACTAACCGCTGTTCACCCCATCTGTTCAATAATCCAGAATAATTTACTTTTTCTCTTTTCTTCCTAAATACAAATTACTTGGATGTCATAATATTCACTGCAAGATTAGTTTTAGTATGAACCAGTAATACAGTGAAGGCATTTTCCCTACTGTTCTGCAGATGTCATACTACCCCGTAAAATGTGCATGCTTTAGTTTCTACAGAAACTGAAAACAACTATCTGCAAATGTCTTTTCTTCAGTGTAAATAACATTGTCTTCCCTTCCTTTTCCTCAGGTGCCTATCCAAGACTCTCACTGAGCTTCAGGTTGAAGAGAAATATTGGATATTTTATTCTTCAAACCTACATGCCCTCCATACTGATTACCATTTTATCATGGGTGTCATTCTGGATCAATTATGATGCATCAGCAGCAAGAGTTGCCCTCGGTATGTGCTAAGAGTGAGTGGGACATTCAAATGTCAGACTGAAAGTAGCCTTCAGAGGTTGTTAAAGGCTGCAACATGGTGTCAATGTTTTGATATTCCAAAATAATTTACGTCAAAATCATACCATCCAGTATTGCCTCAATAGTGATACGTTTTCCCCTGCATGCAGGAATGTAGCTACCGCTAAATCTCTGGCATGAGCTGCTCATGCAGGTCCCAGCCTTGTCCTCATCAAAGTCAATGCTGCTGTCAGTAGCTTCAGAGAGGGGACCAGCTCCGGAACCATACTCCAAGGGTTTGGCGTGGGCTCTAAGTCCAGCTCGGTGGGGGAAGACAAGTGTGGCTCCGAGCCTTCTCCTGAGGTCCCGGGTGCTTCAACTGGCAGTGGCAGGAACTGACCTCAAGAACCGTGTGCCAGGCTGGAGCGCAGGGGCACATCAGCTATCAACCATGATATCCCGCCTAACTCTCAGAATGTACGGTATGCTGAGTGCATTTTTATGAGAACTTAAAGTTTCATTTACCTCATGATAGAAAAACATGGATTTGGCACAGGTTGGTGATCCCTGTCCAAGACTTTTTCAGATCAGAGTGTCCTTTAGATAGAGGAAGGTGGCTTCAAAACATCTCACAGGAAATATTTCACCTGTTGCACAAGTACACTCAGGGATAGCTATAGACAAGGAAGATTAAATAGATCCATAAATTCTTAAGACTACTGCTGCCTCTCATCTCATGCCTAATAGTGTGTTCAACCCTGTGCTTCCCAATGGTACGTACCTCCTGCAATCTTCCTACCCAAAACTTCCTGCCCAAGCCTATGGCCTCTAACTTCCTGCTATACTCTCTTCTCAAAACAGGAACAAATTCCTCAGTTCCCTTATTTTTAAATATACACTGCAGCAAACTGCCACTCCAACCCATGTCCATGTGATTCCTCATTTCTGTACCCCATACTTCCCAAGACCCCACATACCAAAGCAGACTGGGCAGCCGCAGCTGTACTTTTCTGCTATAACTGCAGTTACTGTGCAGTAATTCTACAGATACTGTGGATTATCTGGTGTATATGGGCATGACACAATCTGGTGTTACCACTTAGCAGCTACTGCATGTTCCGCAGGTCACAGATAAACAGTGGCTTAACAGAAGGTGGGACATAAAGTCCAAACAGCTCAGATGTATTCATAAATTAACTACTGGGTACCAAAGATCCACCCTGTAGACATTATGACTGAGTGAGGGGAGCACTTCAGACATATCAGTCAGCATCTAGATTTTTACATACTGGCCAGAACTGCAGAGAACAGATGGTTAGACAGAAGTTCCCAAACCTGGTGACATTCCATGCCCTTCTATAATGGGTTGATGCAGTTTTCCCTTGTTTAAGGAGCAGGGCTGTCTCACACGGCCTATTTCTGTGTAGCACAAGTTCATCAAGTACTGTACTGTGGTAACACAAATATTAGAACAAAAGTCAGAGCACATTCAAAGCAAGCTCAGGAGCACAGGCATTCTATTTCCGATTGACAGAAAGTACTTTTGAGAGGATAAATATCCACCTAATAGGTTCTTCTGATAAAACAAGTAGAGCCTTGGTTATTATGTCTTTTATCACCTGGTGTTTGTATAATGGAGTTCAGTACCATGGGTCTAATCCTATGTTCCTTTGTATAGACGCTTTTATGAGTATGAAGCTGATATGAAATAGTATCATAGTTTAAGGCCAATATAGCACCTTTGGACATACATAACTAGCTCTGAAAAGCTCATTTCAGAGGAGGATAAGGCCTGCTCGCTTAGGTACTAGAGGAAGACTCCCTGTACAATTGTTAGGGACATGGAGACAAGCTTAACACCTACAGGAATTCTGTGTTCTTGGCAAGAGCCTGGTTTTAGTTCGTTCACTTCCGTGTTTTGCTCCTGTCCCTGGTCCCACACTACACATGCTGTCTGTGATCCAGGCTGCACTGAACCAAGTACTTCCCTTGAGAAAAACCCAGGCGTGGAGCCAGGTCATTCCAGAGACTATGTCATAGAGACACTGCAGGTAGAGGCTAGTATAGGGCTGATTTGAAATATTAAAAAAAAATTAATATTTGAAATATTCAAAAACATAAATTCTGTTTAAATTCAGTTTTTGCTAGTTAGCCCTAGAAGTTCCTACAGTCCCTTGAGTGAGGAGAAAATATTCTCAAGATTTCGCACTTTGAGGAAGAGCTGTAATCACAAGAATATCCTGTTTTTATATGTTAGGTGTATCAGCTGCTTGTCACCCAGCTGTGCTTTAAAATAAATTATTGATCTTCAGAAGGACATTTGCCTGCAGGGTGTCAGTAGAATCTCCCCGGGGACATACTTCCTTTTGGTTACTTTTAGCCACCTTTCTATTCAGTGTGCTTAACCTTCTGTATCACCAAGACAGCCAACAAACTCTCTTCATGTGGTGTTTAAGGACTTATCTCAGGAATTGAGATTACCACCTGGGAACAGACACCGAAAGTATGGGCTTTGTAACACCCACTGGGAGGCTTCAAAGTCCCTTGTTGACCTAGGCTTTGGTAAGCATCTGTGGGGTGCTACTAAGATGCCAAGGGTGTGTTAAAAGGAATCTGTGGGATTTCTGATATGAAAATCAATTTGATCTTAGGTAACATTTGGAATCCCTTATGAGGAGCAAGAGCAGGTAATCCTACAAAGGAAGAAGCAAATTCAGTCTAAAGAAATGCTTTGGCTGCAAATGTATGATAGTGTTTGCTGCAGTCCTCCAACTTTCTCACCTTTTCACCTTTTGCTGGTACAGATGCTTTCTAGAGATTTCGTCAAAGTTTCTTTAGGTAAAAATATTGTGTCAGCTATGGTCCTTAATTTTACTGCATGGCTCTATGAGTTATACTCAATATAGTTTTTAAATAAGACGATGCTATGCATCTCTGCTGTATTTCAAGCCATGAAACATCTGACATCAACATACACTTGTTTCACAGTCTAGAGGAGAGGCACTGAGAACCACATGATGCTGACCCACTAAATACATGCAATACTTGTTAGAGAACCTCATAGGCTACTAGTTGTAGTGGTTTGAGCCTGGCCAGTGGCCAGGTGCCCACACAGCTGCTCTATCACCCCTCATTCTCTACTCGACAGGGGGAGAAAATATATCAAAGGGCCCATGATTTGAGATAAGGACAGGGAGATCACTTACATTTATTGTCCTGGGCAAAACAGACTTGATTTGGGGGAAATTAGTTAAATTTATTAAAAGAACAAATCAGAGAAGAGTAGTGAGAAATAAGAAGAAAACAGATCTTAAAAAATAACACCTTTCCTCATCCCTCCCTTCTCTCCGGGCTTAACGTCAGTCCCAGTTTATCCACCTCCTTCCCCTGAGAGGTGCAGGAGGACAGGGAATGGGGGTTACTGTCAGTTCATCTGATGTTGGTTCCACCACTGCTTCTTCACTCCAGAGGAGGACTCTTCACACTTCCCCTGGGCCATTGTGGGGTCCCTCTCACACTCTCTTCTCCAACATGAGTCCTCTCATGAAGGGCAATTTGTCACAAACTGCCCAACGAGAGCCATCTCATGAGGGGCAATCCACCCCAATGTGAGAGAGCTTCGCACTCTCTTCTCCGGCGTGAGTCGTCCCACAAAGGGCAATCACAAACTACCCAACGTGACACACCTCATGAGGGGCAACCCACCCCTCGTGAGTCTGAGGTGCAGTCCTTCAGGGGAACCTGCTCCAACGTGAGTCCCCTGCGGTGTCACAGAAGTCCCACCAGCCAACCTGCTCCAGCATGGACATTCTTCTTTTCTATGGGCTACAGGTTCTGGCAGCAACTTACTCCAGCACGGGCTTCCCATGGGCCACAAGCCCCTTCAGGCATTCACCCGCTGCGATATAGGGTCCTCCACAGGCTACAGGTGGACATCTACACCCCATCACCATCATGGGCTGCAGTGGGACAGCCTGCCTCACCATGGTCTACACCACATCCTGGGAGACTCTCTGCTCCGGCACCCGGAGCTCATCCTCCCCCCTTCCTTCTTCACTGACCTTGGAGTCTTCACATATTCTCACTCTTCTGTCTCTCTGCCAGCTGTTGTGTGGCACAGTTCTTTTTTCCCTGTTTCTTAAATGTGTTTTCACAGAGCCATTCCTCTCCTATCATGTTGCTGTTAGGCTCAGCCTGGGCCAGCAGCAGGTCCCACTTTGGAGCCGGCTGGCATTGACTGTATCAGACTCAGGGGAAGCTTCTAGCAGCTTCTTGCAGAAGCCACCCCTACAGCCCCCCTGCAACCTAAACCCAGCCAGGCAAACCCAATACTGTTCCCTGCAGTGACATAGTTTACACCAGCAGCTCGATTTTGAGTTATAGTGTCTTTCTTTCCTATCTCTTCAAGTAAAAGCAAATGTGCTTTATAATATGGCACCAGTTTTCTTTCATTCTTTATTTTAGTTCTGCCTGCGTTTTAATGACTGCTTACAATCTGATGGTATAATTATGGAATGAGAGAAAATAGTAATGGAAGGGACCTATTAGAATGGCTTGCCTTTTCTAGCAATGTAGAATTATTCCACAAATCAGTGTTTTCAGCCATTTGTGATTTGTGATTCCCATAAAACTTCGAGCAGATACAGACCCTGCAGTTTTTGAATTCAATGAGATTGACAATAAATTTGCTTTTCTTATCACCTTTCTGAAACAGTGCTCTGTAATATATTTTCAGGTACCATGCCCATCCTTAGGTAAATAATTGAGGGTTTGACATACCTCACTGATTTTTCTAGGTGCTTTATTAGTGTCTAGTTGGTCGCTATAAAAATTCTGCTCTCCCTCCTTGGCTTTTTGTTTCCACAAATGCACACACCTGTCTGCCTCTCACTGGTCGTCTCACATCTTTCTGAGTAAGTATAAGATCACTGCTCTCAACTAGTGACCTCAAATCCTTCATCTGTATTGTCCTTTCCTGAAATAGGTGTCCGAAACAGCTGGTATAAAAAACTGCTCTAGAAAGCTACCTGTCTCTCTCCATCTACTACAGGGGGGCCGCTACAAACCTAACTCCAACTAGGTGCTTAACTCCTAGAAATTTAAAACTGTGTGAGAGGAATCTTTTTACCATCTATGTGAACACCCTGCCTTAATATGTGCACATGGTATGCTTGGAGTTGTAAGATACGTGCTCTTTTTCCTTTTGTATAGGAATTACAACTGTGCTGACTATGACAACAATCAACACTCATCTGCGAGAGACTTTGCCTAAAATTCCATATGTTAAAGCCATTGACATGTATCTTATGGGCTGCTTTGTATTTGTCTTCTTGGCCTTACTTGAATACGCCTTTGTCAACTACATTTTCTTTGGAAAAGGCCCTCAAAGGCAGAAGAAACTTGCAGAAAAAACAGCAAAGGGAAACAACGATCGCTCAAAGTTTGAAGGCAACCGGGTAGGATTCTTTAATCTATATATAGTCTCTCTTCTTTTATTACAAAAACTAACACTATGAAATAAACAAAAAAAGACTGCATAAAAGCATCAGCAACCACATCTTCTTTTTGTGGATAAACTTTGGCATTTCTGTATTTTAGAACCTACATAGAAAAATATATTTAGGCATACAGAAATGGAACTGAGTATGATCTGCATGACAAGTAACTGTAAGAAGAAGAAAACAATGGGAGTGCAGTTAGTTTGAAAATAAAGGCTCAGGTCTGTAAAGGCATTTTTTTAATCTAAATCAAATATAAAATAACTATGATTTAATTTAAGTACCTACATAGGGGAGTCCAGGATCTGAGTTTACTTTTTCTCAATTCAGTTAGAGCAGATGCATTTAGTATGGGAGAGAACAGATAAAGGATTAGTTCTGCCATGCTAATTAATTAGCTAGCACAGCTGAACCACTGTGTGTGGCATCATCATCTGCTGCTGTTTAAGACCAGCAAAAAATTATGATTCCTAGAGAACCTTTCAGGTTGATTTCTGAAGCACAGTATTGGCATGGTCAGTGCTGATTACAATCCAGCCTGTTTCCTTTCCTGGCGTATTACTTCATCCAATTAATATCTTTTTTTTTCCTTTTGCAAGAAAAATTCAAGGTATTCAACACTATGTGATGTTAGCAAGACATGTCAGTTTTAATGCTAGGCCACTCTCCATCATCTTTGGTAATTCATGGGCAACAAGAGAGGTGCCTGAGGACTGGAGGAAAGCAAATGTCACTCCAGTCTTCAAAAATGGCAGGAAGGAGGACCCAGGTAACCAGGCATACCTCGATCCCTGGACAGGTGATAGAACGACTTATCCTTGGCACTGTCTCTAGGCATATTAAGGATAAGAGGGTCACTAGGATCAGTCAGCATGGCTTTCCCAAGGAGAAGTCATGTTTGACCAGCCTGATAGCCTTTTATGAAGATGAAACCATGTGGATAGATGGTGGCTGTGCAGTGGAGGTGATTTATCTGAATTTTAGTAAAGCATTTGACACTGTCTCCCACAGCATCCTCATAACTAAACTGAGGAAGTGTGGTCTGGATGACCAAGTAGCGAGGTGGGTTGTAAACTAGTTGAAGTGAAGAAGTCAGAGAGTTTTGGTCACCAGAAGGCTGTGCTACCATTCAGAGAGACCTGGACAGGCTGGAGAGTTGAGTAGGGAGAAATTTTGTGAAATACATCAAGGGCAAGTGTAGAGTCTGGCATATGGGAAAGAATAACCCCAAGTACCAGTACGGGTTGGGGGGTGAAATGTTG